AAGTATAGTTATCTAATTGAATAAATTTGAAGTACACATAGAAAATGAAGTTCTTGTTCCTCAATTTCTGCTGTTTATGGTGTAAAATCAAACGAGCTGTTCGGGCATAATCTTGTCTACTTTTTGTTCAATTTTTTGGTTTTGTGGAAATAATTATGCAGTGTCCTCTTGTGGTCAGTTTGTGTTAGAACTTGGCACTGAGTTTCAATTTCATTGGTTATTTTGTAATGTTTACTACAAGTTTAGTTCTCTCATTTTCCACATTGCAAACCTATGTTCTCTGAGTTATTTAGATTCAAGACGTTTGTCGGTGGAAAGTACGTTCTTCATATATTGCCCCCAAAAAGAGAATTGGGATACATCTATTGTTGATTTGAGCCGTGGTCATTAACTTGTAAACCACAAAAGATCAAAAGGTTCCTTCCTACGAAAGTAAAGACGATTCATTTGCCATTGAAAGTCCACCCGTTACGTGCTCGCGTATCTTTGGAAAATTCTTACGTTAACATCCTTTCTTGAACCTTATTGCTTCTAATCGTCGAAAATTGTGCATATTTGCGTATCTGATCATCGCAAATCTAACATATTATGCGAATGGGGATGAGTTCTGCTAAATTACGATAGGTTAGTCAGTTAGGAATGCATGGAGCACAAAACGAAAAATTCGATTTTTTGGAAAGGTTGGAAACCTACATTACTATTTACCCCAAATAGAATTTAGCCATTAAAATAGGTTATTCTTTGATTTTTAATTTAAAAAAAAAAAAAAGTTTATTCTACCGGTTATCTAATTAAACCATCTATGTTGTATTATTGATATTTTATTAAAATATTAAAAGAAATGCATACATATAAATATTTAATTACCAAGTTAAATTATTAAAAAAAAATATAGACATGGCTTCTTCTACCCTTTGCAACTTCCAACAATATCCAAATTTCCAGCTAATAGGCATCGACTAATGATTAAATGATACGAGCATTTAGTGACATTTGCATATATTTTGATTCCCTTTTGTGGAAGGTTGAGACACAATGTCTATCTCTTGTTTTGTTTTGTTTTATTTCAAAATATATTAACCGATAAAGTGGGAGATGGCCACGCCACTTTTTCAAGTGTTCGAATCGGTCTAGCAACGTTGTCTA